GACAAAAACCACTCATCTATAGCTGTAATTCATTAAAAGCAAGTTCACTGTACCCTTGTTCCATCGTATTCAAATATCTGCTATTCACTGGTTGAATATTTGAAATCACCTATCTGTAGCGGTTTGTTACTATGGTATAGGATATATTTCTATTGAAAAATTGAAGACAAAAAGAAGACTTAGAGTGCACAGGTGTTTGACAAGTCATCTTTTCAAATATCAATTTTATGTCCACGTAATCGAAGATTTGTCAGGATATGTAGTTTTTGTCTTGTCCATCTGTCTGTCTGTTTGTCCACCAACTTTAACCTTGCCCATTACTTTTGACTGGGTGAGGCTATGGCCATCATATTTCACAGGTGTATTCATTGAGACAAGACTTTGAGTATCACCAAATTTTACTTCTTGACCTTGGAGTTTGACACACTTTTACAAAATAATACCAAACTTTAACCTTTGTAACAACTTTTGAACACTTGCTGTTAGAGGTTTCATTTATTCACATGTATGTTGATTGTGACAAGACCTTTCTTTGGGTACCACCAAATTTGACCTTGGAGTTTGACTTCCATTTGAGAAACTTCAGTCTTTGCCATAAACTGTCATACGGGAGCATCAGTGTTTCACAAACACATCTTGTTTTTATTAAGAAATTTTGTTCAGAAAAGCTCAGGTGAGCTAAAAAATGAAACTTGGAAAGAGCAGAGAAATTTAAATCATTGCCTTTCCTGTCAAAGCCCCTTAGAAGTCATGCAAATTTTGGCTAAAGTGACACAGAAATTGTTTCTACACATGAACATCCTGAACTCCGGAGTCGCAAGAGTCTCTTGGGAAAGATGACTGATTCACCACACAATATGCTGCCTATATTCAGATTATTGACAATTAAAGCCTGCATAGTACATGCATCACTAAAAACTGCATGAAAAAACATTCAGTACAATTCTAAAGATTTACTTTTACTTTCAATTTTTATTAATGAAAATTGACTGTCCTCCCAAATCCCCCCCCCCATTTTTAAAAAAAATGATGGATGCTATGAATCCTTCATTTTCAAAGCAAGTCTTTACCTCTCTGTATTTTTACATACATACTTATAGTTCTAAATTATATCAAAATGACAAAGTTTGCTTACTCAAATTTCATTTTTCTCTCTCTTTTTTTGTTTTGTTTCATCATTCTTGGGCTCGCTATAATGCTATTGGTGTGGGTTTGGTATGTAAAGTATTCCGTCGGGATGGCAGACAAATGCATCGTAAAACTGACGAGACTAGGGTTGAACATAATGACGATCTAGACAAAATTCAGTTAAATACAATATAATACTATTCATTAATAACAAATTCATTAATCAATAATCCATTCTATGCTAAGGAGTGGGATAAAATTATACACATGGACTGCAAGCTTAATTTGGACGCGACCAATGAAAAAATGGGATAATGGATCATTTTTTCCAAATAATCATACTTCACAATCTACAAATATCAATCCATTTCTGAGAAAAGTGCATTTTAGAGTGTCACTGAAATTTCACAACCTTTGAAAACAGGAATTGGCCATTAAAATGCTTACTACATGGAAGAAAGTTTATGTCCAAATGTTTCATGTAGGATGCTTTAAAATTTCAAAGTTCAAAATCTTAATTATAGCAATTATTACAGGAAGAAAATTACAAAAATTGTGACCATTGAGTGTAATTTTAAAAACACTTTTGATGTTCTTTCTTCCTTACCTGAACATTAACAGCTAGATCAATCTGCCCACTTGATTCTAATCATTGTGTGTGCAGAATAATTTTATACCAAAATACTTCATCATGGTATAATTTTGAAAAATCAAAAAATTATCAAGGGTGAAAAAAAAACTAGGAGTGATACACTCACTTACTGCCCTAAAACTTAAGTTTCATGAAACCCAAGTCAAATAATTTCTTCATTTACATCCTGTTAACAAATGTACTAAGTCAATCAACACCTATACCTATCAATTTTCTTTTATTCAAAATGCATGTAAAAATGGCCTATTTCAACATGGCTTTTGAAAAGGGTTGTCCCAGTAAAGCACTAACTTTTTCTCCTAAAGTTCTTGACCAAAATTTTTCAGTCTTTATCCATGAGATGATTCCTTCATCCTATGATGAACACTGCCATTATATCTTTCCATGTTTATAAAGTGTGTCTTATCGTTTGTTGTTCTAAAGAAAATTTTCATCATGCATAAATTTCATTAAAAGGAAATTATAAAAAAAAAGAATAATGTAAAAATTTACAATAGATACTTGCTGCTTAAGCATTTAAGAGGTATGTGTACTTAAGCTTGAATTCTTTAAGTTCTGTTATTCTAGGCATCTGTCTCCTGCTGAAGACTTAATTCTGAATTTCCTTGGCATATTGGGCAATCCATTTCTGTGACAGATCTGCACAAATCTGTTTCCATGACAATTAATGTAGAAGACAAGTAATATTTTCAGGAATAAGGAATATATCCATTCATGAATACCAATGACAGCTCAGAATAGACCAAATTCTCCAGAAATTGGTTCAGATGTGATTATAGGCTTTATAATCACAATTAAATTATATGTCCACTTGTGATCATCTCAGAAAAAAATATAATGTATCCCCTGATATTACACAGTGCTAAAGAAGAAGCTTGACTGTGTCCATGTTTAAACTTAGTCAATACAGCTAACCTAACTTTTCATTTGAAGGTCATTGTATCATTGTTGATTAATTGAATGTTGTTTAACATCCATTTCAAGAATTTTCTGCAGATATAAAAATGTCACCGTAAGTCAATGAAGGGCTTCAAATTTAGACCCATACTTGGCACTCATGGCCTTTGAGCAGTGAGGTATCATCATCGTGCCAACACCTGCCGTGACACGGGGTCTTGGGTTTTAGGGCGACATCCAGTAGACCCTTGACTTTCATTTCTAATGCCAAATGCTTGGCAAAGGAACAGTCACTACATATGTTTGTCTTTTGTTTGATGTGGTGTGGTGAATAAGAATTGAACCTGATCCTCCTGATCACGAAGCCAGTACCCTTCCACTATAGGCTACCCTGATCAATGTATGTTCAAAACAACAATATGATGTATATTGGTAAAAAAAGACACCTCATTTCCATATATACAGTATATTGGTAAAAAAAGACACCTCATTTCCATATATACAAACTCCATATTTTTTAGTCATTATATTATTATCTATACATATTTTTTCTTCTAAGAGATGAATATGACCCATATAGTAGCATCAGCTTTTTCAGGACATCCCCTCCATGTTGAATTTCTTTATCACGCAGAAAATGGGGGGGGGTGCAGTTTTTTAAAAAAAACTTTCTTTCTGACTTAATTATTTAACAAAAGAAATTAAGACATAATAACATCTAAAGAGTAAATCTCCACTTCAAAGTGCCTGTACTCTATAAATTAAGATACCAATATTCTCTGAGCCAGCTGTGGGTCAAGGGACCTAAAAATAGGTCGTCTCCATTTATGATTTTTCCCTGTCATAAAAATTGGTTTCCTCTGATTTGTAGGAATTTCTTTGTCATCTTGGATTTAATATCAAACATAAGAAGCATCCAGAGCTACCTAATGATTACTTAGATAACCGCAGACAAGACTTCTAATAACGATGACTTACTAAGCAAGAGAGGAAATTAAAGCTGAGTGTCGAGACAGACGATTGAAATAAAATCTACACAACATTCAATGTCTCATATGACATAAGAGTGTTTTGAAAAGATGTACAGTTTCAGAAGTTTAATGTACGTCTACAAGACTAAGAAAGAACAAATAAAATTCTAGAAATGATTCAAAATATTTAATAGTCACTTCTGGACTTAATATCTAAAGACAGAACATTATCAAGATTCAAACATATTTTTTGAAAATAATATAGGTTTTATGAAAGGGTATATCCAATTATTTTGAGCTTCAGAAAAAGAGAGTTCATAAAGTAATGTATTAAAACCGAAATTCAATCGCATTAAACCCATATACTTTTTAAAATTATTTTATGGGATTTTTTTTTTAATTCAAGAATTCTAGATACCAATTTTCTTTTATTACTCATTCCAAGCCCCTAAATCTAATAATGGAGATAAAAAATAAATAATAGTTCTGCATTATAAAATGGGAATATGTAGTGCGCATTGGTCCATCTATCATGTACTATTTTCTTTTTCATCCAACAATAATTTTGGATACAGCTTGTGAAAGTAAAGAAATATACCTGTATATCCTGTGTAACACAACTCATGTTTTATAGTTTTTTTTTAAAAGCTCAGATTTTTGGATTTTGATCTAAACTGCTTTTACTGCACTATTACTTGTACTATACAGAAAGGCAGAGCTAGTCTGTAAATAAATAAGATCTTAACTTCTCTAATGAGGCACATCAATAAGACAAAGTTCTATTGGTATAAAGTTCTATAGGTGTGAACCTTGAATAAGAATGGAATCCTCTGCCTACAGCAGTCTAAGTGATACAGCACACTTAGCTGCAATAATGTAACCCTCTCCAATTTTTTTTATCTGATGTTTTCCTCCCCCCCCCCCCCAAGGGGGAGGGGCTACATTATTGCAGCTACATCACACTGTACAGTACAGGGTCTCAATAAAAAGATCTACTTTCCTCACCTTACACAATAATATGAAAATCTACAAGGAAAATTTCACTCCAATGTTTGCTAAATACATGCATACATTGTTACAAAGATTTAATAGATCATCATATATAATTCTTTAATATATGCTAAAAATGACATTGCAAGATAAACAGCACTGTACAATATTAATTGGTAGCTGTGGTACATTGTACTTCCTAAATTACCTACATGTAAACTTGTATCTCTGTGTTTTGCACTTCTGACACAAACATGCAGATATTTTTGGGGGGTTATTTCTTATAGTCCTAGTGACAGATGCTGACCAAGCCCTTACTTAACGCAAACCCAAAGTTTAAAAAAGGCTAAATTTAGACTCACTGTATTATCTGCGTCAGCTGCGAGGCGAGCTGCGTACCGGGCGATCAAACGATGTTCATCATCCACAGGAACACACTCCACGCTGGCCGCAACCTTCCTGGGGCTGAAATGAGGAAGTGGGTCATTTTAATATCAACAGAACTTGTACCATATCTACACCTCTATACAGGTGGCTTTGCTAACTTTTTTCACTTTATATATCAAGAAATAAAGAAAATATTCAGTGGATGTAAATACCTTTACAAGAATTGTCTTTTTTTTGCTAATGATCAAGGCAAATAAATAGAAAATGAAGAGATCCATCCTAGCATATATATAAACTTGATTTTCTTGACTTTTAAATTTGATTCTACCTTTTCTGAGGTTCTCCCCCATTCAGCTGTAGTGAGTTGACTGCGTGATTCAGCAGGGTGTCATGGAAACCGTTTCTGGGCTGTTGTTGTGGAGTAGGAGGTCTAGAAAAAATAGAAAACCAGGTACAAAAAAAAATAAGACAACCAGGTGATATTTCTATCAATGAACAACACAGATGTGTTTGTGTAAAACAGGTTTCCTAGTATGGCAGCTCATGGCTGTTGTTAAAGTTTGTAGGTCGAATTACAAGGTCAAGGAACAAATTTTAAAATGATGCAGTGCAAAGAGAGGTTTTGTCACAAGGAATAAAAATTTGAGGTATGAAAGTCAAAGCACTGACCATTTAAAAATTAAGACCCAAGTTTAAGCTATTTAAAAGTAGGTGAAATTCCAAGATCAAGATATTTAAAAAGTTGGTATCCAAAAAACAGTGTCACAAAGACAACACAGTCATGAAGGTCATGAGGTCAAAAATGTTGGTACCCTAAGAAAGGTCAGTCACAATAAAAATGTGAAATAGGAAAGCTCTAGTTCCGACCATTCAAAAGCCAAGGCAAATGATAAAACGTTTGTAGTCAAACAGACAGACCACAGACATTTGTTACCGAGTCTCTAATCAGAGAGGGCATAAAAAATTTCTTTCTTGAAAATTTGCACTTACTGAGATAAAAAGTTTAAATGCAAGCCCGCATGTAGCAAAATTTGGTGAATTATCAGGATCAAACGCTTTATGAAGAAAAATGAACATTGTGCTACTCTCACAAAAACAATATGGCAGACTTGTACATGCATGTAGTTACATTACACAACTGTTGATACAAACAATACATTAAAATACAATGAAATGTTAATATATTGAATATGTATGTGTGCATTCACATTAACTGTGCTACATGTGACGATATGGGACTAAGAATTATACACAAATTTCCTATTCATCCTATTCACTTCTGCACTACGAGGGTTGTTAGAAAAGTTTGCGGACAAGTTCTGTTGTGAGCGTGCTATTTTCATGAAACCGAATAAACTCTCCGGATAAAAACTTTACCCTTTTTTCTTATTAATATACAAAGATTTCATGTTTTCCGGTGACAATTAAAAATATACACTATACTATTTTGATAAAACATGCTTCACGGAGCATGCTACTTTTTCGAATGTTTATATTACATAGACTTTTTCATGTTTTTAACGAAATTAAAAAATGCAAGTTGTAGCGCAAAAAGAATTATGAAATTTTACCTGCTGCTACAGTATCAATGAAACGTCATTTGGTGAAATTTTAAATTGAATTGGATGGTGTATGAATGTTTCATAGCCATTTATATATAATCAACGCGTAAAATGAAAGCCAAGAATGGGAACGTCATTGAACGTCATGGAGCACCGAGCTACTAAAATTTATGTGTGAAGTCAGGAAAACGTCAAAAAATAAATTAAAATCTTCTAAATTCTGTTAGAAATTTTCTACACGTAAAAAAGACAACAATATTCAATTGGTAGTAGCTGCTTATTATCAACTTTTATGTGATACCTCAGTAACCCCACTTATCGCATGGAAGTTGAGTCTCAGGATTTTGCATGGTTTCCAAATCTGATCATGATCGCTTAACTGCGTAGACCTTCATTTTAAGATCTCGCTAATATCCGAACAACACTTACAATGTATGTAAGACATTATAAAAGAAAAGTAACATGTCTCGATATTGATATTTAATTTTTAAGTAGAAACTAGAACTGTCCAATAGGGACAAATACGCCCCCCACCGGTTTTTCAGAGTAAGTGCAATTTCACAAATATTTATGGATCTATTAAGATGTGTTCACTATTGTCTTAAAACAAATCGGGTGAAAATTTAATTGCATGCTCATTAAATTTTTTCAATTTATGAATCTAAGGTCAGGGTTCGACACTAACGGTAGCCCGCTGGCCCGGGACAACTGAATATTGAGGTTGGGCTACCAAACATGCCTTTAAACTTGCCCTGCAGGGCTACTAAGAATTTTACTAAATACTCACTCAGAGCAACAAAAATAATTATCAATTACACACAATGTATCTAATAATTATTAAATCTATTTTCAATTGTTTATAATTATTTTTTTGTATGTCAAAATTGTCAAATTTAAAGGTGATTTGAAATACCCTGAATGATTATATATGTGGACTTTTTCGAATAGAAGAATGTCTAAGGTACAGTCATAGAGTGGCATAAAATTCTACCCAAAGTACAGCCAGAATGCAGGATTTGGCATCTCTATTTTCAAAATTTTCCGGGGGAGGCCCCCCGTACCCCCACCAGCAGGAGGGGAAAGCCCCTCCCGCACCTACCCCCTCGTCGCTTTGCGACTCAGCCACCAGCCTTCGGCTGCTGGACAACTAATACATGAACAGGGCTAGTAGAAATTCAAAATGGTTAGCCCTGCTGACAACTATGGTTTAAAAGTTAGTGTCGATCCCTGAAGGTGCAACCAAATAAAACATCAATACTAATACATTGTAACAGTTTTTTTTTATTATTTCATTAAAAAAAGAAATTGCAATTATTTGTCATGCTACTATGCAAATTAATTGTTGAAAAAAGAAATATAATAGAGAATCAAATTAATCTTTATAACTTTATATCAAATTTATTTAAATTAAAAATAATAAACTGCCCCACCACAGCATGATACTCCCGTCAAATATTGTTCATTCAATTAATATAAACAATTTAGAGTGTGAAGATATCATGGCAACCTTTAAAAGGATTTCCATAATTTTTTTTAAAAATTCCTTTTGATATTTGTTTAATATCTCCTGTGGTGTAAGCATTAATTATGACAAATAATCATCAAATGGTTGCATTATAGCTTGACAAATGCCCCTCCCCCCCAAACACACACATATATGCATAAATCTTTCATGTGGGACACAATGCTCTGAAATTTGTCACTTGATAAATTTTTTTTCTACATATTGTAAATATATCAATTTAACTAATTAGTATTAAAAACTTAATCTATAACAAATTGATTTTAGAAATAGAAGGCTGGCCATCAAATAACGTGATGCTATTTAAACTGACCAGCAGTTCTTCTGTCTAATTCCCAAAGGACCTATCAGAGATAACAGCTAACAGAAATGATAGAGACAGCTAGCTTTCTTACATTGAACTCATTAATTAATCTTTGACTGGATGCATGTCCACTGATTAATGCCAAGGGATACAATTTTCTGTTATCAAAATTCTCCTTGGTGATAATTATACCCTTGGGAGAGGTAGATTATCTCTTATAAAATAACATTTGATATGGATTGCTGTAAAGTATATAATGAAAAAATATTATTTTCTTAATTTAACATTTTTTTAAACTGGGATACAAAAACACCCTTATATTTTTTGGATTGTGTAATTCATTAGCAAAAGACAGGTTTCTTTTTAAAATTTCACTTAAATCAAAGGTCACTGTGACCTTAAAATAGGTTGTGACACACCTTCTACCCAAGATGCATAAATTGTCCAAGTTTGATGATTGTCAGTCTAATAGTTTTCTAGTTATGGGCCAAACAAAACCATAAAATAAAAAAGAAAAAACACCTGTAAAATGCAGAAAAATCATCCAATCATGATGAAAATATCAGGTGCACACCTTCATATGGTGAATAATAAGTGTACAAATTTTCAGACAAATCCATCCAATAGTTTCTGAGAAACGGTCCGGACAATATCTTGTCTACAGACAGATGGACAGACGGACATGCTGATTCCAATATACCCCCCTAAACTTCGTTTGCGGGGGTATAAAAAAGACAAGAAAGGTCAAAGAAATGTAAGATATTTAGAACTAATAAAAATCTTAACAGGTCTGAAATTTGGTTGTCACATCACAAACGTCAAGTGATTGCTCCGTGAATCCTATGACCGCATAATAAAATCATTGTAAATTTTCAAATTTTTAGTAAATGGACCTGACATTTTACATACTAATAAACAAAAGATAGGAATTTAATTAGACATAGGTCACACGTCACAATAGATTTTTTGTAAATCAATGTGTTCGCGAACTTTTCTAACAGTCCTTGTATATTTCTTTTTTACAGATGCATCTCAACCTTTTATCAATACCACAGTAATGATTTGATTAATCAGAGGAATACTCCAGAGATAATGGAGAAACGAAGCCAGGCGGTAATTTCCACTCTGTGTTGATACATGCAGCATCAGAAGAAGTTCTCAGGAGTTACTTGCCTTGTACAGGAGGCTGAATTAACCTCAATACAAAAACACATTGCTTTAACACACTCAAGGAAGAAATTTATCTTTGGTTAGGGATGGGTGTCTTAAAATTTCAGAATTCAAATCCCATGTTAGGCTGCCGTATAGAATATCACTTGGTGTCATTTATGTTTGCATTAAATATTCAGTACTAATTTAACTATCATGCATGTTGTAAGCTACATAAGATCCATATAGACTCCCCAGATACACAGACAACATGACTTTAGCTGATATTGTGGTTAGACTCGGTACAACAACAGAAACCTACTTCAATAAAGACATGACTTCTTCAAAAGGCAGATTTCTGAAAGTAAAATGTGGTTAGATAAAGCTAGTGCTTAAAGCACAAAAAAAGCAAACAGACTAAACGACCTGTAAAATTAAAAAAAACAAGATGTGTTTGTGAAACACTATGCGCCCGGCGTCAACAAAGTTCGATAAAGCTATTTTTAGTATATAGGTCACAGTCAAGGTCACAAGGTCATTGACCTTGGTGTTGTTTGTAAGAACTTAATTAGTGGGGTATGCATACTAAATATGAAGTCCCTATCTCCTATGGTTCAAAACTTATGGCAAAAAGTGGAAAGCTATTTTTAGTATAAAGGTCACATTCAAGGTCACATGGTCATTGACCTTGGTGTTGTTTGAAAGAACTTTATTAGTGGAGTATGCATACTAAATATGAAGTCCCTATCTCTTATGGTTCAAAAGTTATGGCAAAAAGTGGAAAAGCTATTTTTAGCATATAGGTCACAGTCAGGGTCACAAGGTCATTGACCTTGATGTCATTTGAAGGAACTTTATTAGTGGAGTATGCATACCAAATATGAAGTCTCTACCTCTTATGGTTGAAAAGTTATAACAAACAGTTGAAAAACCTATTTTTAGCATATAGGTCACAGTCAAGGTCACAAGGTCATTGACCTTGATGTGATTTGAAAGAACTTTATTAGAGGAGTATGCATACTAATTATGAAGTCTCTATCTCTTATGGTTCAAAAGTTATGACAAACAGTTGAAAAACCTATTTTTAGCATATAGGTCACAGTCAAGGTCACAAGGTCATTGACCTTGATGTCATTTGAAAGAACTTTATTAGAGGAGTATGCATACCAAATATGAAGTCTCTATCTCTTACGGTTCAAAAGTTTTGGCCAAGGTTAAAGTTGACAACAGACAAACAGACAAACAGATAAACAGACAAACAGACAAACAGATAAACAGATAAACAGACAAACAGACAGGACAAAAACAATATGCGCCCCGAAAAAATTCGGGCGCATAAAAAAACTACAATACAATATGGTATCGTAAAAAAAAAAAAGACTATGAAGTTCAACTTAGTTAAAATAGCCTGTGGAAATTAATGAACCGAGAAATTATTGAGAAAGAAATCAATCTTTTAGACAGTCTACATAACTGTGATAAATAAATCTAAATTTGAAGAATTTTATTGAAAATTAGAGGGTATTAAGCAGTTTGCAAATATGTTTGTATTCTACATATAAAACCGAAATATAAAGGTGCAACTAGCTGGAAAAACATAGAATGAAGAATCAGAATGAAAGTCTAGATAAATAATTGATAAAAAAAAAATCAAGATAAAAACATCTTAGTAACTAACATGATGTATGAAAGGTCGACGGTTTTTTCTGGAGTCTCAGGGAATTGTGGGAGCTTCGATTGCATTGACTTGTTTGGCACACATTTAAACGTCTTCTTCAGATTATGTCCTATCTGCTTGGCTGGAGATTTCTGTACAAAAAATATAGTAATTTCAAAACAAGGAGTTTAAAAATAGAAAAAACAAGCTAATTCAGAGAATTGTGTCATTTATGTTTGCATCCCCTAAATTTGTAGAATTATTAAATGTATACATGTATATTGAAGCAAATAAAATACATGTATGTCAATATGCATATAAAGATTTGATTGCTTATTCCTTATTATGTGTATAGAAGATTCTTTTTATATGGAATATTTATCACACTGTAATGATGATTTTATAACCTCATAAATTTTTCATTTCACATGCTGAATACTATCATTTAGTAAAAAAAAAAAAAAAAAATATTTAAAGAAAAAAAAAGAAAGGATCGGCCGAGATTCGATCCCGGGACCTCTCACATATGAAGCGAGAGACATAACCACCAGACCACGCAATCGCTTTACATGCCGTTAAGTATATGCAGAACTGAAGTCACATACATGTATATATTCATGCTCGATATTGTCAAAATTTTACACAATCCATGGTGTTTGATTTATTTAGCCTTTGTTAAACAGTTCTAATAGATGTAATAAGAAATAAAGTCCTGTTTTATACAGCAATAACTCTCCTCATGCCCCTGCGCTAAAAATAGCGACATGTAATACTATAAATACTAATAAAAAAACGGGGCGGGGCACTTAAGAGGGGCGAGAGACGTCCTAGGGAGTTTTGGTATAAAATTACATTGCATAAGCTCAAAATCTTCTTGAAATATAAAATGATAGTGTTACACACAGACAGAATGTATAAATTTACGACCTGGAACTTTGACCTTTTGACCTCAAAATCAATAGGGGTCTTCATTAGGCCACAGGGAGTTGTTATGTAAAATTTCATTGCAATAGCTCAAATGGTTCTAGAGATATCGTGTGGAAACGAAAGTGTTTTAACAGACAGAATTTGCTTATTTATGACCTTGACCTTTGACCTTTTGACCTCAAAATCAATAGGGGTCTTCTTTAGTCCATAGGGAGTTGCTATGCTAAATTTCATTGCAAAAGCTCAAAGGGTTCTGGAGATATCGTGTGGAAAAAAGCGTTACAGAATTTCAAAACGGACGGACGGACGGACGGACGGACAAACCCAAATTAATATCCCCCACTTTTCAAGCGGGGGACAATAAAAGTCATACTAAGGAAACATATCACTGTTATTTCAATAAAATATCATACAAAATCGATCCTTAAAAATTTTTAAAAATTATATAACTTATACTATTTCAAAAATAGATTGTAAATTAGGTTCCAAGAAATTTCAATATTCCTTTTCTGTATTTGAAACCTGCAGAATTCTTACGTAAGCAGTGAATTCCTTCATTTGATGGTCGTTGGAATGGTTACCAGCTGTTCGCCCCCTCCAGAAGCAGTCTTGGCACAGTTGAAAATTACAGCACCTCTGACATTTGTAGCGGAAACCCATGAAGGATTCGCGATGGCAACCCTCACACTGCACCGGATGGAACACTAAATTCAAACATTTAATATACATAGTCACAGTATAAAACTAAAAGAACTATTGTAAATCACTTAATTTTTGCAAAACTTCATAATTAAATATGCTATTTATATGGGAGGCAAAAAATTTCAGCAAATTAAAATCATTAACTGCTACGCTTAAGCATAAATTAGACTAATACATGTATATGCGATAATGAAATTTTTGCAAGTAGTCTAGCATAATTACTTGAAAATAAAGTTGTAGTGAATATGTGAATTACAGGATTACTTTGTAAAAATTGTAGGAAACAGTACAGAGTTACAATCACTGCTGTGAAAAAGTGACAGATTACCTCGTTAAAAAATATTGTTTAAAAGAAATAAACTATCTTTGATCTTTGATAACTGTCTAGAAATGACCTTCATTACTAACCATTTTCAACCTGTGGCATCTTGATAAGGATTGGAAGCCACATTAAACATTGTGGTCCTGGGTCTGCCATCATCACATTCAGAAAATCATTCACATTCACTGGGGTATTCTGTCAAGTAAACATTACACTGAATCATGACAAAGAAATATTGTAGTCTCCAGATTCAAAATTACCCGGTAACTAGAACCTGTGTGTCAGGAAAAGTATATGAATTAATTGTGACTGATAAAATTTCTAAAACCTTGAGAAAATGTACAAACATTCCATAATGCCATTCAGAGAATATCTTTATGACGGGAAATGATATATTACTAAAATATGACAATTATGGTCAGGAGTAACTTTGATGCCAAGTAAAATATATCCCTATAATTATATATGAAAGTATTAATGAGCAGTTATGCAAGTTAAATTTGTACCTTTATTCAGAAAACACTTTACTACCATAAATATTACGTAAAGTTAATAGCTGACCAAACTCTGATAGCAGGGTTTAAAGCCCATCTGTTTGTTCATCACTGATCGTCCTAACCCCTCACTTTGATCTGGAATGCATGTACTAACAACTCAGGATAAAAAGATAAGGCTACCTTAATTATTCATGGTAGTTTGATGCCAGCACTTTTATCCACAAATAAAACACTAATCAATTCCAGTAACAAGATAGTTACATTTCAAAAAAAACATTTCACTTGAATGAATAGATCCCAAGGTCCTTCAATCCTTATCAAAGATTTAAATCTGTTTTTAGGCTGAATCTGAACTCAGAGTGAGTTTTATCATTTTATGCATGAGCATCAACCCATTGTCAGTTCTATTATATTCTGACTCCATACTCTTTGTAAGTTCTATTACTTCTGAATCTTAACTCAGTAAAAGTTCTTTGACATTCTGAACTGAAAGTCAATGTCAGATCTTATGCATTCCGAGCCTAAATTTGTTATGATTTTTTTTACATTCTGAGTATTAACTCATTAAGAATTCTTTTACAATCTGATTGTTCAAAAAAATTAATCCAAAGTAAAACTATATCCTACCCCATTGGAGGCCACACTTCTACACTTTGTCAAACTTTACTCAAGTTTTTTTTTTCTCACCAAATCGTTCTTGAGAATGATTTTTTTTTAAAGACAACGACTGTATTTTTGTTATTTTTTTTATCATCTCTCATTTAAAGAAAAGAAAAATGAATTTCCCTAATTCAAGAATACTCTGTGCCAGTTTTAGTTGAAACTGGCCCAGTGGTTCAGGAGAAGATGTCATAGTGGAAAGATTATGACAACTACACTGACTATGACAAAGCTCAAAAATTTTAATCAGAAAAGCTTACTTGAGCCCACCTAAGTTAGTTATTAACGACATTGATCAGATCCAACACTTTTTATAAACAAATTAAAATAGATGCTAACATCACTAAGAACTGAAACCCCCCATGTCTCACTTCTCTGCATCTAACAATGTAGGAGTTATTCACCCTGATTTTTTACTCTTAGAAAATTGTCCAATCAATACTAGATACATAAAGATCACAGTTAATCTGCTGACGACCAGCAAAACCATTACAAAATCAATGTCCAGTGCATGTGGGAGAGTTACCATGGTACAAGGTCAAGTGATTTCACTTCCCATTATCACCTCCTTCCTCCTCGGTCAACAAACATGGACGTAGCTGTATCTTATGACAAACAATATGCTTTCAGAAAGTAAATATGTACCAATACACATTCTACAAGCATTTAAAAGCTCATAAGATGGGCCGTTTATAGAACCTAATGAGTTCCTAATGTTCCTCAGGGCTTAATTTGGTCAAATAACAGGAGGTTCCTCATGTAATTTGATGAAATTACCTAGACCTAGCAAATAAAAAATAATGAAGAGGTATATTAATTACAAATACTTTGAAGACATGCAAGGTTCTTTAGGTATGATTAAGCAGGAACCCAATACTTTCTGGAGTAGTAAAACAGAACCAGGCTCATGGCACCACAACCCTCACCTGATTAACTTAGTCCCTTCTGTTTTTCACTAGTCTTCCGTATTGCAATACTAATTGTGGCCCCACACTGCCCCATATGGCCATGATTTAAATAGTTTAGCCATACTATCTTAGAATACTTCCACATAAGTTCCAGATTTTCTGGTCCAATGGTTCTTGAAAAGAGGAAGATGATTTTTACAATTTTTTTCTATATACACTGTATTTCATTTTAAAACTTGGATTCCCTATTATGGGCTTGTCGTACCTCCAGGGCTCATGATTTGAACAATTTAGAACCTACACTACCTCAGAAAGCTTTAATTATTAGATTTAACTTTTCTGGCTCTTTGGTTTTCAAGAAGGTTTTATAATGACCCCACCTTATTTTTGTGTCTTTTCTTGATTATCTTTCCTTATAGAGGGGGTTTGGCCCATCATTTTAACAATTTAAAGTCCCCTTCACCTATGAATGCCTTAATTGTACCAACTTTGATTAAAGTTGGCTCCATGGTTCTTGAGCAGAAATTGAAAAGGAGAAAAGTTTACAGATGGACAGCTAGACAGCCAAACGGAAGGATGACCGACAAGAGGTGGTCAAAAACACTCATTTCAGTCATTTGAACTTTCAACTCAGGTGAGTAAAAATACTTTAAAATGTGTTTCAAAGTATGAAAACTACATTTATATGTTCCTTATTTGGTACTTCACCCCAGTATATTTGAACAAGCAAGGTCGAATCATTCCCTTAAGGTTAACAGTAATTCTATTAGAAACCATGTTTACTTTGTCAAAACAGCTTCTGGGGGCTGTCTCATTATATCCAAAGGAAGGTCCCTCAAAAACAGCTGCTGGGAGGGCCAGCAGGGCCTGGAGATAGTCCTCAAACCTCACCCACACCATGTTACCGCTGGAGTCAGAAATCTGGGTGAAGATATCTGAAAATATCATACAGTTTATCATTCAAAAATCAAACAGCTTGATATACTGTAGATTACTAAATTTTCACAAGATAGTCATTGATTCTTTAATAGCAGGACAAAATTTTCACAAAATTGTGGTCATTGCTCTGTAAAATCTAAATGTCTTGAATACTTTTATACGCATGAATGAAATATTTGCGAGCACGCTGTCTCACTTAATCATGAGAAAATAAAGTTCTCGAGAATAAAAAGTGCTTTACAGTATGTTTAGAAGTTTAGGGGTAAAATTGCAATAAAACTTTGATAACTTCTGATTCGACAATGCTTTTGTGATTCATTTAGCATTAGATCCCCAACAAAATTGGAAAGACAGAATTTTGGTTGTGAAACCAAAACAATAGTGACCACAGGGAACAGTTTCTGTTTCATCTTTTTGCACTCAGATATTGACAGGAATTCTGTGGAGGGATTTCACATCACAGAAATATACATAACTCCATTTATCAATACTCAGTGTCATACTTGAGGTTAAGAAACAAAACAGTAAAGAATCGCGAGTGTTATCTGCTAATAAAAGATTACTCTCACGTCTATGTCTTCCAGCTGAGCCAACAACTCTATACATGTATTGAAAAAGTTGTTCTTGAACATAAAAATGCTGTACTTACTAGATAAAGAATACTTTAAGGAACCTTTTATGAATCAAAAGATGGGTTTGTCAAAAGTCAAGATTGAAAAACCTTGGGTTATCAACTAGTGGTCACACCGGCCAAAATTTAGTACCGGGTAATTGATTACTAGTACTTGATTCGAGAAAACAAAGAATACTGACTCTTTATCTTATATCTGTCAAAAATAAAATGTTAATTCTAGGGATGTCAAAATATTTATTTTCCTTAGTCGAACATTCGATTCCATTATTCGAACAATAGTCGACTATTCGAAACATTTTCGTAAATATATGTAAAAAGTGACACCAAATGCCTATACAGTGTATTACACACTGATATTCAGAGGAACCTAAAGTAGGAATAAGATGTTGAAATGAAATGGATTTACACCAGCAATTAATTCTCCAAAATGTATGAATTCTCGTAATATCACATTCATAAATTGGTCTGTACATTCTTTCGTTCTGGTACGCTTAGAAAATTGTCAGGACGGTGTTTTTACAGCTTATTAAAAATCAATTGGAAAAGGGGAGGGGTAAACACACACTATCCACATGCCAGGGGATATTATACACTTATCCACTGGTTGTGAGTGGGATAGCTCTTTTATCAAACCCGCGACAGGGAACTATTCCCCGAGGGCTTGCCTGAGGGGAATAGTCCCTGTCAAGGGTTTGACAAAAGAGCTATTCCACTCACAAACAGTGGATAAGCGTTTTATTATACTGCTGTATAATATTATTTCTGAGGTTTGAATTTTTTTTGGAGTAAGATAATACTGCAAGAATTTTGAAATCCTGATGACGTCACAATGCTACTGAAGTCATCATGACATCATCAGTCAATAGCTTTATCGCTGGAAATCAAAATTGGAGGCAAACATTGCATGAAAAATTTCCGAGGGTGGATAGCAAAAACTACACCCTGGGGTATAGTTTGCTATGTGTGACCTATAAAAGTTAGCTATTTTACCTTCTGAACTTTATATAGAAAACATTTTAACAGAAGTATAATAATGTTAAATACTGCTTGTTCAATTATTGATTAGCCCGGCTATCAAAATGTCTTTAATATGTAAGATTATTGTTTTAAGAGGCAGTCCACCGAAAAACCAGGCAGTATTGTATTAATAGGCGGCACATCGAATGTGATGAATTTTTGGTATTTTATTAAAAACGATATCAATGTAGTCCAAAAGGAATAATGTAACTGAAGATTTGTTTGAAAATTGCTTATTTAGTAAAATATCCTTTTGTTTTGTGTTTTTGAATTCCCCTATATAAACCATTGAAAGTAGGTAAGAAACAAAGAGCTGTAATTTCTAATACAATTTTAACAGGACTATAATTCACACTTAAATAAATCTAGAAATATTTCATCTTTTTGTTTAAAAAATAAAATCATTGGGAAAAACACTTTTAATAGAAGTTTTCTGGCAAAATATATAGACGTTTTAATGAAAATTTGCGATGCAAGAGTTATCTCCCGTGGCATCGGTAAATCTGCTAAACACATTTTCATCGGAATCCCAGTGAAATATTTAGAATAGATACACTAAAGAAATTTATTAAACAAAAAATAAATAATTTATTTTCAAAATATAATTCATTTTCGCCTCAAAACAGAATATTTAGATTAAAGTTGGCTAGAATATTCAGTTTAAATCCACGTTTCCATTGATGTATCAGTGACGTCATAATCTTGCGTCACAATGAAATAGTTACAAGTTTTCCAGAGAAGTTCGTAAATTCTTTGCGTAAAGTGTAAAGAAAAATATTTTTTTTTAAATGATTTCTCTTTTTCTGTTTAATTACTCTTCAGAGTGCATTATACTGAATGTTAAATAATATTTTAATATCAAAATGTATTTTACACTGTACAAGGGCGGCGTCTCAGCAAGATGACGTTTTGATAAGTAATTTTATACATGTCTGAGAACTAATTTTTTAAAATTGATTTACCAGGATATGCGTTCAAATAATTAATGAAGTGGTTATAATGAACATTTCTTATAAAATTGGGAATCAATGATGAATGTTTTAGATTTACGCAACATTTAATTCAACAAAGTTGGTACAAGATGTAAAAACTAAAACATTTATCTATGCAATCAAATCAAAATAAACAATCTACAGTACGATTAAAAATGAAAAAAAAATGAAAAATAAGTTACGAAATATATTTATTGAGTTAAATTCACTGTTGAACTCCCGACTATAATTTGGCTCTATAACGGAAGGTGGTTTACTAAAACATTTGTTTTTTTTTTGTGTGTTTTTTTTTTTATTTATCATATTCGGTGATTGAAACAATCACACGCTTATATTTAATATGGAGTATAAACCTGTGACTTTGTTGACCAATACTAAAATGTTTTCACGTTCATGAAACCATTTTTTAAAAATAATGATGCAATGACCCCGGCCCGCACCCCCCTTCCGCTTGCGATTTATCGGCTCTTGAATAATTATACTATACATGAAAGAACTTATTTTCTTATTTGTATAAAATCAAATTTTGTAAAAGAGGAAAAGGCTTCACAGATGACAGGTAAGAAAAAACTTGGATAAGTACACATAAAAATATTTCTTGCATTTCGGCAATTTTAATTTCGCTACTGATATATAGAATTTACTCTTTAATTCCTGAGCCAAATAAAAAAGAAATTTTACTTGAAAATAAGATGAAAAATGAAGCTAGAAAGTTGTCTGCTCTGGTTGTTGCATAATGCATACACAAATACTTTTCTTTTTAAAAATACCTAGTATCTATTAAGAAATCAATCAGATCAGATGTTTTACATGTAATCTTCATGTAAGTAAAAGTCTTTTGTAATTTAAATAATACATACATTTGAACCTATGGTTACCCTCATTTAAAAACAGTAAACTGAAAAGAAATAACAGACAAGCATTTTTTTCTGATAAATTAACATGAAGAGCCAAATTTAGGAATTTTTTCTAAATTTACGGTAAAAACCGATCCCGATTGAAATAAAACCGATCCCGATCGAAAATAATGCAAAATTAAAAAAATTATCAAACGAAAGGCAACTGCCACCTATATAATATGTTAAAAAATAAATCAAGTAATTTCTTAATAATATTACAACAAAAGAGCCAAATTTGACATTACTATTTTAGTATTTTCTTCTTTATACAATTCTGGTCGGGATCGGTTTCATTTGTGAAAACTATAAAAAATAAGTAAATTTGACTCCTTTTATTTCTTTCAAAATACCTTTTCCCAATGATTTTATTGAATGACCTAAAAGTTTGTACTTTGTGTTCATAAAATCATAAGTAAACAAATATGTCCTTGTATTGTATTGGGTTTTATAACGTAATCAAAATTGGATACGAATTTTAACATTTACCTGCTAAACGCAAATTTGGACCAGATAATTTTTTCTAAAGAAGTATAAATTGAAGTCTTATTCATTCATAAAATAAAAGATAAAAGTCTATTCTATAAATAGTAATCATCGGCACATCCACTTCTGGAGTATCTGTTACATATAAAACAAAATAAAAACGTAGTATTTTTTTTACCCTCATGTTGACCTTTTTGCACTTAAAATTAAGCATTTACCAAAACTAAGACTAGAGGGGCACTATAAAATTTTTTGATGTTGTCATGTGTAAACACTTGCTTTAATAAGTCTACATGCAAAAAATAATTAAAATCCATGACATGCGATGTGCCACCCATTGCCTGGTTTTTCGGTGGACAGCCTCTTAATAATTATCAAAGTTTCAAAACTTCACGGCGCTGGTGAGTCCCTATATAGCATTTGAACATTCTTAGAGGTAATAAATTTATTATAGTTGGTACACGTTCAATTTATAATTTTCAAAGTCCAGTATAGCACTGCATAATTTACCACAATAACAAAAAAGGTCAGTAATTGAGAAATAATTATCGCGAAATGTAATTACTGTACTTTATTTATATACTGTGACTGTGTTTAAGCCATTATTCCTCTGAGGGCAGATACTATAATGGTTTGAGGAACGCATTATCAATTTTGAGTTGAGAATTTCTTTATCACCTGCATTTATTAAATATTCGAATTTTGTTTCATTATTCGATCATCGGTCCATTCGACTGATATAGTCGACTATTCTTTGACATCCCTAATTAATTTTAAGAAATGTTCAAATTCTAAGGGCAATAACTTTTGACAACAAGAGCCCCATGGGCCAAATGCTTACCTGAGTAACTTTGGCCCTGTTGCATTTCACCAGATTTCCCTCCAGTGGTTCTTGAGAAGAATTTAAAAAGATATTTTCTATATGTCAAAGGTGGTGAAAAATCAAGTCTCAACCTGGATTCGAACTCAGAGCCTCAGGGGTACAATGCCAGCGCTCTAACCACTGAGCTATTGAGACCCGATATATTGACTGACTTTCACCCACAAGTGAATCCGGTGATATATATAAAGTATATCCGTTTTTTTTTTTCGCGTGTTGGAAATTTTGCAAAAAAGGGGTAGATTTGTACATTTTTTATTTTACGTAAGTTATTTTTTACGATTGAAGATTTTTTCTTAAAATGGTAATGTATTTATGTCACATTATAGCTGATATAATTTCTGTGTGTTTTATATTTTGCGAACTGAAAATGGTCGCAGAAAAAGCATTAAATAGATCATCGCGAAAATAACCGGATATACAGTATATATTTCAATGTAAAACTTGAATTCCCTTTTGTGGCCCCATCCTAACCCCAGGGGCCAAGATTTGAACAATTTAAAATCTACACTTTTCAAGGATGCTTCCACATCATAAATTTCATCTTTTCTGGCCCAGTGGTTCTTGAAAATATTTTTAATGACCCATCCATTTCTATCCTTTCTTGATTATCTCCTCTTGTAAGGGGGAGGGGGTCTATCATTTTAAAAATTTAAACTCCCATTTAACTAAGGATGCTTTGTAGTAACTTTGGTTAGTATTGGCCGCGGTTCGTGAGAGGAAGGGGAAAGGACAAAAGGTGATCAGAGAAGCTTATTTGAAATGTCAGCTCAGGCGAGCTAAATAAAGATGGGTTATTTACTTGAATTCATCTTATTATGTGGTAAAAGAATTATTTAAAGAATTGTTTATTTTGGACTATTCATTATTTTAGACTATTTTTAGTTGGCCTTTAATTTTTGATTTAACGAGGCCCGATCTAGTTGAAAATTACGAAAACGGAATGATAAAAAATTTTAATTCTTCGAAATATACTTGTATGTTTTATGCTTAGAAAAATTAGAACGAAATTTTGTTACCTTGCCTTTATTGTAGTGAAATGGGGGCACTGTCAAGATATGGACCATTTTTCGTGTTTTTATACACAATTACATACTAAAACTCTTCAATAAACAAAGAAATTTACAAATAAAAAAAAAATACATGATGAAATTCTTTGTTTTTTCACATATATTATGCAATTTTCATTCTTCTTATAAAAAATGAAAAGAAAATGGGAGGTAGCCTTTATTGCAGTGAAAAGGGGGCATGTCAAAACACAAAATTTGGATTTATTCTATCCAACTACGTATTTTGTAGGTCGCAATGGGTTTACATAACACCAACACACGATTGCAATACTGTATTAGTTTCTAAAAAATAAATAATTCTTATATTATGAAATAATTTTCTCGCCATGCTTTATTTTTCTCTTAACACGCGACATTGTTTTACGTTGAAAAAAAGGGGTAGAGGGAGGAGGAGGGGGGGGGGGGTAAAGGCGACAAATTGCGATTTTTACTAATATCATGTAATATATAGAAAAATAAAATATTTCGGGGGTTTAATTTAAATGATTTATAGACTTATTTTATTTTTAAAAAAACTGAAGATAATCCATGCATATTTAAGTCCGCAATAAAAAGAGTGTGTATAAACACTTCAACATGTTCGAAGAGAAAGACTAAAATCGTTTACTTTTAGTTGCAGTGTTTGTTTTTTTTTAACTCACAAATTGAAATAAAACAGGATAAAATTAATGAATCTGTACCAAAAAATTGATCCCTCAAAAATAACTAGGTTCCAAAGTTGTTTATTAATTAATTCAAATATTAAAAAAAATAATAGAAATGCCAACTCTCAATGCATAGTCTATAAAGCTACCAGGTAAGCAAGATCGGCGAAACATTTTAGCGCAATTTGACGTCATTAATTGTGACGTTATTGTGTTCAATTGTGACGGCAGTCAAGGGTATTGTGACGTGCCTGAGTCGACGCTGCGTTAAAACGTATGCGCAGATCAAGTAGATCGGGCCTCGTTAAGACAGAACTGTCCATAACGTTTTTGGTAAATATGCACGATCATGATATCCTATAGATACTTATTTCAATCAGAAATCCTAGTGCTTCAACTCAATAATATTTTATACAGACTTTCAATTTTTTGCCTTAGTTTCAAATTTTAAATATTGATTTAAAAGTGCCACATCTGTCTTTAAACACTGGCTGTCATTACCCATTGTGTAATGATGGATTAATTGTCAGGAGGGCTGCTGTGGGAATGGTGGGTCTATGTTTCACGTCTCTGGAAATAAATTAGTTTTCCCGACGGAATATGGATTTCAAATTAAGTTCAGCAGTACTTACACCTAAGCTTGTCCATCATTTTCCCAGAACACATGTGGGAGAGGGCGACCTTGAGGGAAAAAACACTCATTCTTCCATAACCTTCTCTAGAAATAAAACCAGAAAAGCATGTTATTGGTAAAGGCCTTAAATAGTGAAAATCAACACTTCTAGTCACATTCAAGTGCTTTGTTAAATTATACAAAAACTTAAGCTGCTTTAAAAACATAAATCTGGTAATTTTTCTGAAAAATACAGCATCTGAAATCAGTAAAGGGCATACAGTTACTTTTAAATAACTTCAGATGTGTTTGCATGATCCCATGTTGTCACCCCACCCTACTCCCAGAGGGTCATAATTTGGAAACTGCCTACAAGGATGATTTTATAATAATATGATCAATCATGGCTTTGCTGATCGTAAGATGAATATTTTAAAAATTTATCTATTACCTACATATTCCTATGTAAAACTTAGATCAACAGCTAGTTGTGGCCCCTGCCTACTCCCATAAACCAAATCTGAATCTATACAATATGTAATGAAGATTTCACTTTTAAGTTTCATCTTTTCTGGCCCAGTGGTTCTTATCCCTATCTGAGAAAGGGCAAGGCATTTCCTGTTTAAAAAAATATTCTATTCTTCCAAGGATGCTCTGTGGAAAGTTTTGGTTATAATTAATCCATTGGTTCTTGAGTAGAATTTGAAAATGTGAACAATCAACTGAAAATACATGAAAAAGACAGAGAAATGGATGCCAGACACTTCTCAATCAAAAAAGCTCACTTGCGCCTTTGTCTCAGGTGAGCTAAAATGAAAACATATGCACTGACCTATCATAGGCTGATATGACCCAATGTAACAACATGTTAACACACTGGTCAGCATTGACTTGTTGAGTGGAAGGAAGACGTTTGTTTAGATTACAGAACAGACTCGATATGATGGCTTCTACACGAGATGAGTTCAATTCCGAGTCAGGCTCAAGTGAGTTCAGACCATTCTCCCGGAACGACTCAATGATATTCCAGATGTCCACTAGGGATACTGAAAATAGAACAGAAATCTGGGTCAATAAAAGTTCTAATCTGTTAAAGTAATCATACAGGTGAAAACTTCAGCTTAATTCATTAATTAGTACAGAGTATTAATTAATTATAGTACAAATCTACGTTACCTTGGGACTTTCATTATAAGGCTCGACATTCTTAACACTATTTAATCAGCATCTCTCAAATATTGATCTACATTCTCAATGGTTGCTAGTTCAATAATTATTACATAGCACATATGAGTAGAATGAATTGGAAGTTTGGAATTATTTTGCATTATCTTAAAGTCTAGAAAAAGAGAATTTGTATTGTTCATTTCTTTCTGCATGTTTCCCTTTACAGAAATAAGCATATTTCAATGACATTTATTTTACTTTTCACTGTTTTTTCCCCTGTAGCAGTAAACAGTTCCTCATGTCGAAGCACTTGCACTGGAAAAAACATTAGGATCCTGCATAGCAGGTGTAAATTTTGATAGTCATTAGATACTTTCCAATATGTGGGTTGATTGGAGAATTCAGTCAGGCCTCCAATATTTCATTTTTCAAAGTACAGAGTCCCTAAACTGCCCAAAGTCTAACTAAAATACGCTTTTTTAGCATTTATTTCTTTATTTATTATACACTTACAATTTGTCTTCTTCTGTATAAATCTCAGCTTACAAGCTGTCCTATAGGTGGCAAATCGGATGACATCAAAATTCTGGGCCCCTGTCAATTTAATACAGCATGAAAGTCATCTTCATGAACTCAGTTTTCATTTTTTTTTAAAGGCTGATTTTAAAACATCAATCATTCATAATCTTTAAATTTTTGATTTTTTCCATGTTCAATACAAAAAATTGAAGAAAAAACTTTGATTTTTGAAATTTACATCATGACTTACAAGTTACAGGGACAGTATGATCAGTATGATCCTGATCACATTTCTGATCTAAACAAGTGAGAAGAAATTTTGAATTTCTGCGATTTTAATGGTTGACTTACTCATTTCGGTGAGGAGGGATTTGGAGTCCCGGACTGACTTGCTGGTTGGGCTAATGTCTTCAAGCATCTGGCTCTCATTCTCAATGTTCTTCCCATGAACATAACCTGATAAATCAGAAAAATTCAATGTTTCATACTAAATTCTGGAAAATTTGATTTAATGGTAAAAGAAAACACAATGCTAACTTTTTTTTTTGTTTTTTACATGAATGTTATCTACTTTATTGAAAACCCCAAGGAATATTATTGATGTTTTATGCAAAAAGCATAAAATGAAACTAGAATGCCTTATGAACACATATATTTCAATATCATTTGTTTAATGAACATGCCAAGCAAAACTTCATTCAATAAATGGATAGGAACTGTCAGCACATTCTGTCTCTTGGATCAAGTATTTTAAGCAAAATAGTTTTAAAAAGTAGTTTCAGACAACAGAAAACCAAGAAAATTCAAAAAATGAAATCCCTTGAGACTAAATGTCAAATATATTTTTAAAGACCTCTGCATTTCTAAAAATGCCATATCATCATCTGCTGACTACATACTTAGTCATCAGGTAACTGAAGCATTACATACATTTCTACAGAATTCTTAATTGTAAAAAAAATCCTAGATATCAATTAAAAAGTAACTTACAAGTCCATGCTACGTTAAAACATTTCCACATTTCTGATCGGATCACAAACCAGCGAGATGAAAATAGGTGTTCTAACATACTGACCCTCTAAATATCTTACAAGATCAGAGGTTCTAATGAAAAACTAGAGACTGGCCATACAGTGAACAGGGAACCTGATTCTGCTACCGAGGGATGACTCATGTGTGAGTGTGACAAGATTCTACCTTGATCAGGGGTTCCTTGAATTCAGCCATGACAGCGGGAATTCCTATTTAATGCCGTCAAGTAGCATTGTAGCCAAAAAAACAAAATTAATCTTTGCACTCCAACTTCTTATATGGTTTTTATATTGAATTTAAAATAGGATGAGGAATTCTAGTAAGTGACATGGAAATCAATGGGGATTAGTTTAACACTTTTTTTAACTACAAATTCAATTGATTTTATTTTTGCTCACATCAATGCTGGTTGTCAATTCAACAAATCAAATTAACATTATTGGAAAAGCGGAAATATCCTGCCAAAGTCATCATAAAAAAGAAACTAATTTTATTTTTAATACATAACAAAACAGCAAGGGCTTTACCACTTTTCCTACATGAATCAACATTTACATGCAGAACTGTAAGGGAAAGTAAACGGAATGTAAAGAGACGTAAATTGCAGCTTTTACTTAAAGGCCACTTTTTTCATGAATGTACATCATAAAATAAACTGTCATCTTGTGACAGAAATATGCCACATATTGATTATCGCCAAGGAGTATCTCCATATAATGAAGATATCTGATTGGTCACGGTGGTTTAAACAATGCCAGACAATTTCCCAGTCCTTGTCACAGCTGATCGACTCGAGGCCCCGCATACCACGAATCAATAGCCCCACACAGCTCTACGTTACACAAAAATATTGATGCTGTCACGGTTCAACACCACCGAAGATATCACGGACGTATCAAGTGATAGATACCGTAACATTGATCAAACGGTGTTTGTTAGGCATTTAATTCTGATTGACAGGAATGTATTAAAGAAACAAGGATCTGTAAAGGATAAAACATCTCCGTACTTATACCAGTCACTTTCATCTAGGCATTGTTTTCACCTCTTAAATTGGTACTACATGAAAAATTACGGGGAATGAGTGCCTCGATGTAGCCAACATTTTCGTTGTAGGATGAAGATAAGTGAGCCAAAAGCACTAAAGATCAGAAGAAGAAAAGGCAGCATGTGAATAACTCTCACCAAGTGTCTGTATTTAAAATGGTACCCAACAGTTATCCCCCATCATAATAAATAAAGCAACGTAACGATAGTGGGGTCAAGGTCACACGGAAAAGATCAGATTATAAATTTTAAAAGCTAGGTATGCAATAAACCTTCAGCTTATTTATAGTGAAAGCCAAATAAGGAAGCTTGAAGCTAGGTCACAAAAAGGTCATGGTTATTGAATTCTGGCAAAATTAGAATGCTTTCAAAATGAGCATTTTTTAAATAGATATTTCAGATAAATACCTAGGAAAGCTAAATGGAAATGAAGATGCTTAGTTCAAAGTAATTTTGCTGGCAAAATTCAGTTTTTATGTGCATGATGTGATGACAAAAAATGCAAATCAAAGTGTAAATTTGTTTGATTGTTTAATGTCCCTTGAAGAATTTTTCCACCGCTTGCTGGTGGAGGATTGCAAGTTTAGACCTATACTCAGCAGTTATGGCCCTATAGCCATGAGAAAACTTTTTAGTGCCAGCATGCCTCATCAATAATACCTGGGTACTTTATAGTATCCATGTGCCTCCAAAATACTAATGGATTGGTATGCACACATTTCCTCACTACTACTGTGTAGTATCTATATGCCTCTTCAATACCACTGGAAAGTATCCAAAGATGTCCTCAATACAAGATAGTATCCACACACCTCCTCAATACTACTGGAAAATATCCACACACTTCCTAGGTACCTCTGGAAAGTATTAACATGCCTCCTCAACACTAATAGATAGAATCCACATATCTTAAATACCAATGGATAGTATCAAGTAATCAACACATCTCCTCAATACCCCTTTACACTGAAACGTGGCTGAAAAATTGCTGACTCGGCATTAAACAATATACAATCAATCAATCTTCAATACTTTTTAACAATATCAACACACCTGAACACCACTGGAAAGTATCCACACACCTTCTGATACAAGTACCACACATCTCATTATACTATCCAGTAATAATGAGATGTATCCTCAAAATCATTTATAATAGATAGTATTCATACCCTTCCTAAATACAATAGGATAGTATCCACACATCTAAATACACCTGGATAGTATCCACATGCATCCTTAATACTATTATATAACACAACCCTCCTCAATACTACTAGATAGCATCCACACATCTCAATACTACTGGATAGTATCCACACACCTCAATAGTTCTAGATAGCAACCATATACCATACATGTTAACTCTCCCGATTTAGGCGGGAGTCTACCGCTTTTTAACTCCATCTCCCGCCTACCGATTTAATTCAGAAATCTACCGCTTTTCTTCAAAAGCTGAAAAGTATTTTTGGTTCGCTTTATCCATTTTTGGAAAATTCTCATAAAATCTTGCTAGATATCGCGTGATTTGCCTCAGAATCATACAAACGCTTTTTTGAATTTTTTAAATTTCAAAAAATGATTATAACGACACCTAACATAAGACTACCAGTGATTACATTGGTTACGATAAATTAATCAACATCCCTGCCATATAATCGTAAGGAGATACAGCTTTTGAAAATTAGATGAAAACATTTGACATCATCTTTAAAAGCACAGAAGCTCACAACTTTATCAATAAAGTCAATAGAAATCACTCGATTAAACAAGCCATGTGGCACATCTTTACTTTCGTTTTCGATCATCGCGGGAAATCTGATTTACATAACGAAAGATACGAATTTGTTTTAGATCTCGCTTAAACCATGCCATCATTTGTTTTTGTTTAAAAACTGAAACGTGAACAAGAATTATTGCCTAGGTTATTTAGCAAAGATCACTCTTCAAAAGGCTAAGTTTTAAAGCAGCCATATCCAACAAAATGATGAGCATGAAAAATATTTGACACACCTGTACAATTCATGTCAAACAAGGTGTTTCTGTCTCTTTTTGCTGTTGATATTTAAGATGAATTAGTGCAGGTACCTGATTTCATTTAAAGCTAATAATATACATGTATATTACATGAAAGATATCGATAATCAAAGCGTTAAACAACACGAGCGCAATGCTTCCGCTTTTGAGGTCTGAATCTCCCTCTTTTTCATCACAATAGGTTAACATGTATGCATATACCTTCTAGCATCCCCACTTCAACTGAAAAGTAACACTCCTCCTCAGTACTTCTGCATAGTATCCACTCATCTCCCCAATATAATTAGATAGTATCCACAAACTCAGTAACAATTAAGGAGTTTGTACATTATCCAAAAATTCCATAATTTTATTGACCAGGCTTTTTAAAACATGGCTTTGTGTAGTGTGAGTAAACACCATTAATGATACATAATAACTCACCATGAGAATGGAAGTGCACCCTCTTCACTCCCCGCATGTTAAACGCTGTCCTGCTGTGACATATTGACACAGTCCAACGCAAAAGAAAAGTCGAAATGCAACTAACATGTTTTTTAAAGACAGGCCAATTCTCCCAACAGTTCAAAACAAAACATAGACAATGAAATAATCAATTGGTAGAGATAGTGTAGCGATAGAACCTCACAAGTTTGCTAATAAAAATTATCACCTTTTCTCTATAGAAACCATTTGGATGGCTCTCCCAGACACTGTAACAATTACATTTCTATAGACGTAATAATGCATGACCAAGGATCATTATGAACAAAGCCACTTAATAACAAACATCCCCCACACAAAATAGCCCTAATGTAAGATATAATCTTCTGTTTTAATACATGTTTCTCTTTTATATGAATTAAAATTCTGTTTATAAAGATTAAATTTAAGTACCAGTATTTAACTTTTGAAAATTTTAAACGATTTTCTCAAATTATCTTCTGAATCATTTTAATATCTATGTAACAGGAAAGGAGAAAGTATGGCCAGACTGGGAATCAAACCCGCTACATCTGCATCACTGATAAAGTGCTCTACCGACTGTGCCACCCAGCCTCAAACCATTATATTCCTCCCTCCCATAATTGTCTTTGTCCTCGTAACACACCTCAAGTTCTTATTTGCCCTTTGCAGGACTTTCATCTGCAAGTCCAGGGGTGATCAATTCAATGGCACCATTTTTGTTATAGGAAAGGAGAAAATAAACAGCTGGACTCGGAATTGTACCCAAGACCCCTGGACCACTAGTCAGGTGCTCTACTGACTGAGCCACCCAGGCCAATATTCACTGCCTTAACCATTACACTATCATCTGTCTGAAAGAAAAGGGACAGGACTCAATTTTGTGTGAAAATAAC